AATAATTTATTTAATAGTAATATATTATTGATATATCATCAAAAAATTATCTTGATCGAGCATGAATCTCGAGGCAAAACCAAGTTGGAAACTTCCGAAATTAAAATTGGGGCCATCCAAACTAGCAAACTTACAGTTGAACTGAGCGTCTTGAAAATATGAACCCAACGACACCAAATTTGACTCAATCTGAGCCCAAATGGATCCAAATCAAGGGCCCGAAAACAACAATTTGGATTATCAAGCTGTTTCCAAACATGACATGCTTATAGTCGAATCTAGCAGCTCGTTGAGACAAATCCAATGAGCCCAAGATAACTTAATTCTGAAATCATTAAGACCTTCAAATGTCTAGCGAACATTCCATAATCAAGGGATTCAACATCGACTGTTCATCCAAACGGCTCTCCATTTACCTTTGATCTTCCTCCTATTTACGAGTTATGTCACTCTAAGAAATCTATAAATAAAGCCCCCTTCCTCTTGAAAAGAGAACCCCAAGTAAGAGAGCAAGAGAGAAATCTATAAATAAAGCTCCCTTCCTCTTGAAAAGAGGACCCCAAGTAAGAGAGCAAGAGAGAGATCGTCGATTGCTCTTACTACAACGATCTTTCCCTGTCTCCTGCCGACTATGGTCCTTCCAACCTCTGTCACCTACTACAGTCTTTTCGACCTCCATCGTCAGACAACGATCTTTCTGACCCTTGTCTCCTGTCGACTACAGTACTTCCAACCTCCTTCGACTGCCGACTAAACAAACATATCAATACTGGCACTTCCAATGTCTACCATGTAATGCATTCTATGTGATGTATATATATTATATCAAGCCATTGCCTTCCCTCCAATGAAGGGCCTCATTTGTAATCGACTGCAAGTAATAGTTGATTCATTCAAACTATGTCAGATCCCGTGATTTTTCCCCCTTTTTTAAGGATTTTCACGTAAAAACTCAAGTCTCTATTATGAACACTACATCCTCCCTCTTATCTGATTGCACGTTGGATCTTCATACAATGCTAAGACATTAAATTTATATTTCTCTACCGCCTCCATCGTCAGACAACGATCTTTCTGACCCTTGTCTACTGTCGACTACAGTACTTCCAACCTCCTTCGACTGCCGACTAAACAAACATATCAATACTGGCACTTCCAATGTCTACCATGTAATGCATTCTATGTGATGTATATATATTATATCAAGCCATTGCCTTCCCTCCAATGAAGGGCCTCATTTGTAATCGACTGCAAGTAATAGTTGATTCATTCAAACTAGGCCAGATCCCATGATTTTCCCCCTTTTTTAAGGATTTTCACGTAAAAACTCAAGTCTCTATTGTGAACACTACATCCTCCATCTTATCTGATTGCACGTTGGATCTTCATACAATGCCAAGACATTAAACTTTATATTTCTCTACCGCCGCAAATATTCTAGGACAACAATTACATATTTATTTATCAATCTACGAGATGCTTTTCTATTCACATATATTATTTCTATAATTTTACATATCGGCCCACATTATTTACTTGAACGAGCGACTGCAAAATATGAATATATCTTTTAATTTTCTCCTCTTTAACCCTTATAATTGATGTGTTGACAAATAATCTATGAGCACATCATCCTAACCCTAAAGGCCTTATGAGAGTTAGGGCCAGTAAGAGCTTTGAATCCTACAACAATAGAGTTAGTGTAAGCATGTTTTTCAAATAATATTTTTATTTTTTTTTATTTTAAAATTTTTAATTAATTAATCTAATATTTGATATTTCTCTAATTCAATGAACAAGTTTGTTGGCATTTGTTTATGTTTTATGAGATATCAATCTTCATTTATTTATTATTTTCTTTAATTGTTATCAAGGAGTTGGATATTAATTCAAGATTTATTTAATTCATTGTTTATTTGATGTGGTCAGGCAGGTATTAGACTGGCGAGTATATCACATCTCTTTCGTCTTCACTTCACTATTGTGATGTGAGCAAATAAGTATCGAGTCATCAATTTTCACTGTTACAATATGGTCAGTTGAAGAATGGACACTTTTTTTTTTTCTTTTGTCTGGCTATTGCGATGTTGTTGGGTGGGCATTAGACTTTTTGTTGGTTTCCAAGCTGGTATGTCACACCTCTTTCACTCTTCACTTCACTGTTGCAAGTTAGTCAGGTGAGTGTCGAGTCTTCCTTCTTCACTGTTTTGTTGTGGTCAGATGAAGAATGCACACCTTTCTTTCATCTTTTGTCTTAGTATTGCCATGTTGTCAGGTGGGAACTTTTATTTGGTCAGGTGACCTGACGTAGCTCTACGTTTGGACGACAGTAAAATAGTGTCACGTGTTCTTACTCTTTACTGCGCGGCCCGACAACCCGACCTAGAACGGACCCGGAATTTCTATGTTCGCGTATTGCTCGGTATTGGTCGATTTTGCTCGGCAATAACAAGAAATACCATTATATGAAGACCAATACCTAGCAATATCGAGCAATACCGAGCAATACCGAGTTTTGCTAGGTATTGCTCAGTATTGCTCGGTATTGGTCGTGACAGAGTGGTATTTCTAGTTATTGCCAAGCAATACCGAGCAATACCTAGCAATACCGAGCAATATCAAGCAATACCTGGTAATACGCGAACATAGCAATCCCGGGTTCCGGTCCGGATCGGGTCGTCAGGCTGCACGGTAAAGAGTAAGAGCACGTGGCGACATGTTATTGGCGTCCGAACGTAGAGCTACGTCAGGTCACCTGACCTAATAATTGTTCGTCAGGTGGACATTAGATACACTCTTTACTTCAATGTTGTGATGTGAGCAAATAAGTATCTAATCATCAATCTTCACTGTTGCAATATGGTCAGTTGAAGAATGGACACTTTTCTTTTTCTTTTGTCTGACTATTGCGATATTGTTGGGTGGGCATTAGACTTTTTGTTGGTTTCCCAGCTGGTATGTCACATCTCTCTCACTCTTCACTTCACTATTGCAATATGGCCAGGTGAGTGTCGAGTCTTCCTTCTTCATTGTTTTGTTGTGGTCAGATGAAGATTGCACTCCTTTCTTTCATCTTTTGTCTTACTATTTCCATGTTGTGAGGTGGACATTAGATACACTCTTTACTTCACTGTGTGATGTGGTTAAGTAAGTGTTGAATTGTCATTCTTCACTATTATGATGTATTCAGGTGAAGAATGGGCACTTATTTTTCTCGTTTGTCTTGTTGTTACGATGTGATCGAGCAAGCATTAGATATATTGTTTTGGCTCTTCACTTCACTGTTGCGACATGACAAGCGAGTGTCAAGTCGTCCTCCTTTGTTGTTGTGATGTGGTCAAATGAAGTTTAGAACTTTCATCCCCTTCTTCATTGTGTGTCTTGTCCATTCAATTTGGTATGACAGACAATCTGGGTTGCTTGATTGCTTGGTCTTGATTAGGTCATACATCCCTATTTCTGAAGTTAAACGCCAACATGTGTGTTTCTCTCATTGTTTGCCACACATGTTAGATGTTTGTTTGTTGATCTCATTTTTCATGCTACAAAATTCTTAGAAGATGAAGTTTTTGCGATTCTAAAAAATCTTAGAAAGCTAAACCTTAAAAGATATATGTTCTCAAAAATATATTATGAGTAAGCTTTCGAAGGTCATCATCAATTAATAAATCATATTAATTATATTCTAATCGGTGGAAAATATCTTCTAACAAGACTTAAAGATTTCAAGTATGTTTCAAAGATATATATTGAGCTTAGCCTCGTTTACGAAAAATGTTCTCATAAATCTGAATTACTCTTACACGAAAATGAAGAGTTCATTACGACCAACAAATTGATTTCCAACATAAGTCAAGTTTGTACAAGAAAAAACATTCATTTTAGCGCTAAGTCAAGTTTAGAAAAGAAAAAAGATTCATTTGAACACTACATGTAGAATTATTAGATTTGTATTAAAGCAACTTTTTAATATAAAAATTAAAAATTTTATACTAAAAAGCTGCTTTAAGAAGCAGTAAGAAAGTCATTCCAAACAAACCCTTAATCTTGTATACTAATCCCTCCAAATTGAGACAGTCAAACATCCCTATAAGAGGACGATAGGAGCTCCACTACAAAGATTAAAATTGTTTGAGTTGTGAAGCTCACAATTATGCCTATTAGATGTTTCGATATTTTTGATGCAAAAAATATTGGAGCTTGAATAGAGAGAATACTTTGCCTATACAAGATCATGCCATGCCTCTTTAAAATGGAATAGGATCCCATAAAAAAGAATTAAGAGATATTAAATTTTTTTTCTACAATTCTGAAGGACGACTTATTACTCTTATACTTCGTTTGAGACCGCTTTCTTTTTGCTTCTTAAGTAGTTTCTAAATCAAAATTGAATCGAACCAAATTATAGTTCAGTTAGTTCGATTCAATTTTAGATGAACTAAAATATAATTGATTTTAATAATAAATTTAACCATTATTAGCATAAACAACATGTATTAATAAGAAAACAAAGTAAATTTTAATAAAATGTATAATTTCACCATGAGGAATAAATCATATCCATATTAATCTTTCCGTCATTTATTTATTTTCAATTATTTATTGATAAATCAAGAAATTTGTCTATTTATTATTTGGACCAATTAGTATAATTATGTTTTGGATTTGAATCAAATATAAGAAGCGACTTTCTTAAGGAGTTACTAATGCTTTGTTTGGGACAGCTTTCTTACTGTTTCTTAAAGCAGTTTTTTAATTAAAAAAAAATTAAAATTTTTTAAAAAATTTAAACTAAAAAGCTGTTTTACGAAGCAGGAAGAAAGAATTTTTAAACTAAAAAGCTGTTTTAAGAAGCAGTAAGAAAGTCATCCCAATCAGTCACCATTAATTATGCCTTATGTGTCATTCCCATCCACAGTAAATGATAACCTGAATGGTGTCTTAGAGCTAACAAGGAATTTATTCAATTTTGACAAAAATGATGAATTAGGAGTCAGTAATCTATAACACTTGTTGATGGTATATTTATAGATGGCATATTTAAAGAATGGTACATCAAATTTCATCAGCAAAGTTAGCAGTTTATCAGCGCAGCAAGTGATGAGCGCGGATATTTGCCTCTTTCATTCTGATATTTAGTTCATCCACATCTTCTTGCATGTAATGAAGAGCCTTATTCTGCCTGGAACCAACAAAACAGTAAAGGTTCTATAGTTAATGGCTAACAATTGATTAGAAATGATAGCTTCTGCTGACAAAGATGGACAAATTGCCACACAATTGGCTTGAAAATAAAGATTTTGTAGCAAAGTAAAGATGGAGACATCGCAGCCCAAGGAGAATATTTAATGAAGCAGATGTAGTTCAGAAGGCAAAAGAGCAATCATAATCCAAACATGAATAGTGAACTTAGGCTTCGTTTGCGATGACTTTTTGTTGTTTCTTAAAACAGCTTACTAGTATAAAAATTTTAATTTCTTAACTAAAAAACTGCTTTAAGAAGTATTAAAAAAGTCATCCCAAACGAAGCCTTAATATTTACTTATACAGCTAGATAAATATTGATCATTCTAATGAAAGATTGGGCAGACTAACCTATCAATCTCAGATCCCATGTCAACCGCCATGGCTTTGAGCTTCCCCAATAAATTGCTCAACTCTGAAAGAGCTTCATCTTGCTTTGTCTTCTCCAACTGTTAAATTGTATAAAAAAGAGGATTAAGTATAATTTAATTAGCTGTTCATCCTAAAACAAAATACAGTTACCTCAATTCTTTCAGGAACAGATGAAGATCCTGAACAAAAACGAGGATGATTTGATGGAGGACTTGGAGGATTTAGTCCAAGCTTTTGCCGCTGCCCTATATAATGACATTTTCTTGTGAAGGTTTCATCTGTGAAATTCATGAAAGGTTAGTGATTTATGCTTTCAAATAGAAGCTACTTAGTTCCTCTGAGTTATTCTTCTTATTTACTTTTTGTGAGAACAGGACCCATTATCTGACGAGATTTCTTTGGCTTCCATCTTCTTGACAAGAGTCCCCCAAGATTTCCCAAGAGCTTTTCACCCTAGATTTATAAACACGTGTCAAAAAGGGTGACTGATCACTTTATAAAATTCTAAAAAGGTTAGAACATTTTGGACAAAATTGTGAATTTGTAAAATTTTATATGATGTGATAACCAAAAAAAAAAACGCCTTTGAGTTCAAAATCATGATGTGATAACAAAAAAACATCATTGAGTTCAAAAATTTTCAAGATACCACAATAGAGAATTTGCAGAAGGCTAGAATAATTGCATACTCTTTGAAGAACATGATCAAATGTCGCCGCAGTTTGATGAGTTTGTGTAATCTGCTCACCCTGCTGATGCAGATTGAGAAGAAGCCTTGAGGCACATCCACTCATGTCCTCAGCAAGCTTCAAACATCCATTTATTCTCTGTGTAGTCTGTTCTGCCTTGTATACAGAATATTTTTCCAGTACCTCCACAGATTGGTTCTCAAAACTACCAGATTCGCAGAAATCATTTCTGTGCTTGTCTCTCCTATAATCTAATCCTGAATAGCCTCTAGAACTAGACTTTGAACTTCTATGGTGCAGCTGGTTGATTGCAGAGGCATATGAAGCTCTTTTGTATTTACAGTTGGATTCCAGCTCTAAGTCAGGATCATCAAAATATTTCTTGCAAGAAAAATCAGATACTGCTGGATTCAGATTGTAGACTTTGGTGTTGGGTTTCTTTGAAAAACCGATTCTTGACAAGACTGTAGCCATGGTAGGATTCCTCTGTATAGAAACTCCCAAAGTACTCTGGAAAAGATTTATGCCATGCAACGACAACTTCAAAGGAATGCTTCCACAGCTAACCAGCCTAGAGTGAAGTTGAAACAAGAAGGGAGAAATTCAGACTTACAATCAAGATATTTTTCTTCAAAGGTAGAGCAAAGGAAAATGAAACGAAGAGCTTCCAAAACAAAGGAAATTTTTTTAAATAAACTGGAGAAGCAACTAGTTTTATTTTTGATGTATTAGAGTACAACTCATAGGCTAATGCATGCACAGTCAATCAAGTAAAAATAATTTTCTTTTTTTGGTACATGATAATCCACGAGATTTAGCATTAATAAAAAATTATGGTTAATAGGTGAGTAATTAATTTCTTAATTATGTTTTTAATCATTATATGGATTTGATTACAAATAGAATCATAATCAATTTGCTACAACTAAATAAACTAGAATTAAATAGTAAGTTAATAGCTTAATAACATCATTGTTAGGATCATTATTACTTTGTACTTTAATATTTTTTTATGGATTCAAATAAAATTCATAATCATTATTATTCACACAATTATTTAAAAAAAAAAACAGTTAAAGCTTATTTTAATCTCAAGATTAAAAAGTGCATAAAATTTTAATAAAGGCACATAAATCCTATACTTACAATCAAAGAGCCACCGGCTAAATGAAGGGCAGAAGATGTTCCTATCTCTCTTATGTAATCAACTAAGTTCAAAATCAAGATTCTAAGAGAAAATTCATATGAAGGTTGGACATTACATACCAAGGAAAAATTGTCCCCTGAATAGGGTGTTAGAAGCAAAGCAGAAAAAAAAAAAGAACTGTGAAGGTTTTCTAAATCTTGAAGCAGAAATAAATAAAGAACTTCCATTCAAAGCCAAAAACTAAAGTACAAACAATGGCATCAGCAAGAAAAATTAAAAATTAAAAATAAAAATAAAAAACAATCGAGTCCGATGATATCCAAAAATCTTTAAGAAAGGATATCTGAGATTTCAAGATCGCTAGCTTCCAAGAACACCAAAACTTTACATTTCTCACTATTATCAAGAGACTTACAAACAGGACTAAAACAGGTGGTGGGAAATTCCAAAAATGAAACAGCCAGGGAAAAAACAAATAAATGTCGGGAAAAAAATTATTAAAATCCCTCACGTTCTTGCTTGAAAAGGGTAATTGATACTTCACCACGTAATAATAATTAATTTTAAATTTGCAGTGGATTTCTCATAATTTTCATTTTTTTTTAAAGTAGAAAATTTTGTATAAAACTCCCTCAAGAAAGAAAAAACACTTAAACTTTGCATATAATAGTTTTCCTATTTTATAAACAAAGTCAACTTATTGGCCTCAATATTAGTGTTGAGGTCAAGTTGACTGCGTATAGTGAATTTTGAAAGCAAAAGAATGCGGCGTCGCACGAAACTCACCTGACGTGCGTCGATCAAAAATCCAAATCACCAAAATGGCCTCCGTTTGCAAATCGAACAATGCCAACGTGTCCGAAGAAGTGGAAACAACTAAAATCGACATCCATGCTGATTGAGATCGTTGATCGATTAAAAAAATAAATTTTGCGCACGAATCGAGATGACATTAACGCTCATGAACGATGATGATGTGGCAACCAAATCTATGCATACTTTAAAAAAAGTATTAATTTTATATTTTAAAACTAATTACAAATAATAATAATAAGAAGAAGAAGAGGAATTAAAAAAAAAAAAAGGCCTAAATACCTAAATCCCTAAATTACCCCACTCCCTCATATTCTCACCCAACCAACCCCCTCACACTCTTATGAACGCAACACTCACGCAAGCCCAACTCCCTCCTCTAGGCTCCCTCACTCTCCTTCGCACAGCCAAGTCACCACTAGCCACTCCAACCAACCACCTAGGATTTCGTGTGTCACATTGTCTCATCGTTCTTGTCGCTTCCGCCACGCACCTAAGACGAGGAATGCTATGCTTTATAAACATGTACTGCAAGACCCATGACCGCTTTAATTAGCGAGCGGAGAATAAAAATGTTGTGCATGGTGTCACCTAACATCTATCGTGACTAATTTTATAAGCAGACGGGAAGACCTAGCACAATCGATGCAACATTGCAACCCCTTACGCCGGGATGACGCTGGTGTGCTGCTGAAATTTACAACAAAATGCATGACTTAGACAAAATTTGAAAAAAAAAAATTAAAATCTAACTAAACTCCTAAGTCAATAAAATATAAAATGCATGAACTCTTAGGTTCTAAACACTGAAAGTAAAAAATGAACAAAAATCAAAGCGTAATAGAATAGAACTTACAATGAACTTATAGGAAAACTAGTTGCTTGTCAATACGCAAGAACCAAGCTTCCCTCTCTTAACTCCGAGCTAGTGCACACTCAAATCCCTTGAAACACACCTCTGTAAATTAAAATGTGCAAATAAATGAATTAGGGTTGGGTTCCCTATTTATAATCTAGAAAATTTATCGCCTTATGGGACCTGCTAAACCAAACTTCCAAGCACAAAATGACAAGGGAAGAGTCACGGGTGCACAAGTGCCTTAAGTAGGGTGCACACTAGTTGTTAAAGTCAGGAGATTCATATGAGCCCCATGAATATGTTGTATACACCATGAACATTTCTTTGAAAGAAAAAAATAGTACACTGTTGCATATTACGAGCTATATAGCCCCTCATTAAAGTGTGCACGACAAGCCAAATCACTGAAAAGTGCCACCTACGAGTCCCCTATTAAATAATGCACAATAGCAAATACATACAAACGCATTATGCACATACGTTGAGTGGCATGTACGTATAGCGCCAATCGTGTATGCACACTGCATGATATGTATTCATATCAAACGCATTTAGTAAATGCATATAATCATATAAATTTACAAACACATTGTGTAAATGCATTGATATTCATATGAGTGCGTCATGCAAACGCACTAAGTAAAATGTACAAGTGCATTGCACGAGTGTATCATATAACATGTACGTGTATTATGCAAAATATCATCGATCATGCAAATATGTATGCAAATACACTGTGCACCATTTATGCATATGTGTCGTATCAATTCTGATATGCATTATGTCAATCATACAAATTAAATAAACAATGTCAATCATACAAACGCATTATGCAAATCATAGAACAATCATATAAGTGCCTAATGCAAATTATATATGCATTATTCATTTTATATAAAGGCATTGTTCAAATCATGAAGCACATAAATATGTAATCGTACAAACATACACCAAATAACAATACAAATGCACATACAAATGTGTAATTGTGCAAAATGCACCGAAAAGCAAAATATTGCATGGTCCCCGACGAGCGTGACATATATGTGATGTTTGAGGATGCTACGCAGACAAAATGAATGAATTTCCAAACGTACAAAATACATTGTATAAGTACACTGACATACACATGCATATCATTTAAAAAGAAATTTAAGATATATGCATGGGCCCCGACAAGCGTGGTATGTGTACACATGTGATGCCTGCAGATGTTGTGCGGGTCAAAAGTGAACTTAAGTTCAAGTCTGATCCTTTTCTTAGAATGATCCGGAGTTGACACAATTTGAACCACCAAATAAATACACGGTCGTAGTGCCTACCGGAGTATTTAATTTTATATATTCATATTAGACTTTCAAGGCTTATTATGTTGACCTATATACGACTTTAAAAAAATCCGCTCAATACATTGCATACTTGTAGTTCGACGTCGTTCGCACGTCCTTTGTACATTGAAATCCTACGAAATCACGCAGATTTCGAATTCGAACGTCCGGCCATGAGCATTGCACGTCGACACCTCTCCTCTTTACACGTCGTTCCGCAATCCACTCATCTTACAGACCGTGAATCCCATGACCATGTTCGATTCATAAAAGGGAAGGCGAGAGGGAACCTTCGGATGTTCTTCCGACACACGAGCAAGCTTCCGTTTCTTCCCTCTTCCCTTCTAACCTCTCCACTAGCTTCTTCTTCCTCTCTCACACGTGAAATCCCTACCATGTACCCTACTGCCCTAATTCGAACCACCCGAGCTCCAATCCATCTGTTCGAACACCTAAAAATATGTTAAATAGTTTTCTTCAAGAATTTCATAAAATCCTTTACATGTTTTGTGGGGAATGTAGTAGCTTCCACCCATTTAGAGGCATAGCCAATGGCCACCCGAATCTATGGATTGTTGTTGACAGCTATTACAATTTGTCAGAAATTTATAGGTATGTATGAATATTGTAGGCTAGTAAATCATATAAGACTATTTTTGCTACAGTGTGATCAACTCCAAAATGCCCCCCAAATGCATAGTGGTGATAACGGGTGTTGGCCTTCTCCACATCAAAAATGTAGTGATGTATGATCTAATCAAAGTAGAACTTGTGGAGGTATGGATAGTACCAAAAATAGTATTTAACCTTGATAGAAATTCCTTGTTGGTAGAATGATTAGGAGATGACACCGTATGTTTATAGTTTATATAATATGCAAATCATGGTATTAAGGACGAGTTTACAATAAACAACAACTCATCAAGAAATATCTATTTAATTGGGCTCTCGTTATGAATGCATTCTTCATGTGGCTCCAGTTTAGTCAAATGATCCACTTAAACATTTCTAGTGTCTTTCTTGTCTCGAATTTCCAAATCAAATACTTATAGCAGCAAGAACCAATTGATCAATGTTAGCGTTGCATCTTTCTTTTAAATATGATATTTGATGGTTAAATAATTAGTATATACAATCACCTTTATGACAATCAAATATGCTCTAAATTTATCAAATGATAAGTACAACGCTAATAACTCCTTAGTAGTAGCATAATTCAATTGTGCCTTTATAAGAGTTTGGCTTGCATAATGGTTGGTACGAAATACTATGCCAATTCACTGCCCAAGATAGCTCCCACTGCATGATCACTTGCATAACATATCAGCTTGAAAGGTAGAATCCAATCAAATGCCACAATAATAGGAGAAGTAAGAGCTGACATTAGCACCTAGAAAGCTAGAATGAACGTTCATTAAATTTAA